AGACATCAGCTATGGAGCAAAGGAGCTAGCAAGATCACTACAGGCACCAACACAGCTTGACAACAAGAAGCTCAAGCACATGATCAGGTACCTTAAAGGAACAAGGTACTCGCGACACAACCTGCGACCAAAAATACAAACACAGGACAAACGAATTCAATCAACATTGACACATACACAGATGCCAACTGGGCATCGTGTGAGACAACAAGGAAAAGCACAACAGGATTTGTACTGTACTTCTTTGGAGCAGCAGTACATTATGGCAGCAGAACACAAGCAACAATAGCACTTTCATCAGCAGAATCAGAGCTGTACGCGATTGGTACAGCAGCACAGGAGAGCCTCTAGATCAGCAACTTCAGCAAGGAAGTATTTGAAGTCACCAACATCAGGATACACACAGACAGCAGCGCAGCAAAATCGATAGCAATGAGAGAAGGCACATCAAAGAAAGCAAAGCACATCGAGCTGCGACACCTCTTCATACAGCAACTTGTCAAAAGCAACATCATCACCGTGCGCAAGGTAAAGTCAGAAGACGACACAGCCGACATTCTTACCAAAATTGTTGGCAGCGACGCACTCAACAAACACCTGTGCAACGTTGGCCTGTGAGGTCACACCACAACAGTTTCACACCAGTAAGTGCAGCAGTCAGCACAGGTTGTTAAACAAGTGCACAGTTTAAACATGTTTGTCTTACCACCTAACAGATACAATCTTTTAGAGTAGATACATCAGCCATGGATAGGCCCTGTCTTTATGACCCCTACATCTCTCCCCCAACATCTTTTGGGAGCTACGTGTGCATGTGAGTTTGGCACGTGTCTCAAGCAATCATTTGGCACATGCTGCAGACATTTACACTTTGAGGTCTACAGGAACCTTAGACCCTCGGCTTTTACATCAGTGGCGCATCGCGCATACAAGACCTTGCATCCACAGATGATGGTCCCAGAGGGATTTACATTGGAGCCGGTGGATGTCATCGTTCCTGCAACACCGGAAGGAGCCTCAGGACTACACCACGGTGTTGGTCCGCTTACAGTGGAGCAGTACAACTTCATGCCGACAACTGTTGCAACGGAGCAGGATCAGGTGCAAAAGATCCCGGGCTACATGCGATGCCCTACATTGGGTTTTGTCGGCATGTTGTACAGCATCATGGACTGCATTGGCTACATCAGCTGGTTGGTACACGAGGGCCATGACAGTACAGTTGACTTGGGCACATTCTTTGTGTACAAGCTCAGCCCGCAGACAGCAGAACTGATTCAGAAGGTCTATGGGAAAAGGATTACAGTTTTCAAGCGCGGACAGGTTTTACAGCTGGACAAGGAGTGTACATGGAACCTGACACCTACGCAACGGGCGTCTGGGATTTCTACAAGCTCACAGGGCACACCTGTACGAGAATTACAATTTGGCCAAGGACTACATCATCCTTCAGCACATCATCATCCCCATTGAGAAGGTACTGAACACAAAAAAATCCCCTCGACAGGATCCATGCTTTGAGCCATCTATCTTGACCATCTCGGAGCCTTTGAAGACAATGGTCACCGAGTACATTGTCCAACATGGAGTACGGCTGATGGGAAACAGCACGGACCTAATCCCCGGACAGATTGGGTTCAGTGGCCAACGCTTGCAGGAGGTTGACAGCGCCATGATTTTGTCACAACATCAAGGATACAAGCTGCTCAACAAAAAGAAGATCATGGACGACAGCACGTGAGTACATCAAGTACCTTTTGCCACGATGGCACCCCGCAATTCATGGTACAATTGCCCCGACAGCAAAGGATAATGATGTACAGTACATCTGCTTTCTGGCTATCAGTTTACATGCAGTGGATTCTTACATCATCCTGATCCACAAGGACACTTGTGCATTTTGGCAAAGTGTGGTAAGATAGCACAATTTGAGGAGGGGTGTTAATGTACATCCATCCTTGTACATGACCCTGGCGTTTGTACATCAAGGCCTTGAGCCTATCTACATGATAGAGCCTACAGCACTCGCCCGCAGTGACAACAAGTGCCGCGCTGACACATCACAGGTTTGACACATTAGGTCATCAGGTGTTTACACAGTTAGTTCCACTTTAACAATCCTACCCCCCCCCCCCCTCCAAAACCCGGGTTTTGAACCTGGACAATTGCCAAAATCACTGGATGTGTATTTGGGCCTCTGCGAAACGCATATTTTTCAAGTTCAAGCAGTAAATGTTGGCAAGTTCAATTAGCTGGTCAAAAAACAGTCAGCAAGTCAGCTAGTTGGTCAGTTAAATAGTTGTAATGAACTAGCTCTAAAGCCAGCTAGCTAGGCAATTGGCTAATCAGTTAGTTATCTATTTGGCTGCTTAGCTAGTTGGATAATACAAAAGGTGTTCCCCTAATATTCCCCTTCCTTTACTAGCGAAATATTTGGGCAACTCTAGGGGGTAGTGAGGAAACACTAGGTATACCAAGAGAATACTAGGGCAATAATAGGGGAATACTAGGGCAATCATTATAGGGCAATACTAAGGAAATACTCAGGGAATACTAGGGCAATATTAAAGGTGAATACTTGGATAATACGTGGGAATACTGAGGGAATACTAGGGGTATACTCTCAAGCTCAATCTGTCTGACTTCTCAGGCTAGAGCACTCTTGCAATACTAGGGCAATACGCAGAAAATACTAGGGGAGTAATAACGGTGAATGCTAGGGAAAAACTGAAAAAGCTGATTAAACTGAAAAAAATGAAAACACTGAAAATAACTGGAAAACAACTGAAAACACATGAAGAAAACTCGAAAAACCAAGTATTCAGGGGGGACATGCCTGGGGGGGGCCCCATGCCCCCCTGAATCCTTGGTTTTTCAGTTTTTTCTGTTTGCTTCTTCAGCTTTTTCAGTTTTCTTCTGAGTAATGGAGTTTATGAACAATTTACCAGTTGAAATGTCGAGTAATGTTATGTCCTACAAATGTGGACAGCCAGAATATGTGAAAATAGAAACAATCCCAAAATCAAGCATTGAAAATAATACAGATCACTTACAAAATGACAACACCGGAACCACAAACAATATGCGAATACACAAAGGTCAATGGCAGGAAACAGCGCCATTTGGAATATGCAATATTGAAAGTATTATCAAAAACCAAAGAAATCAAAAGAATTAAGTTTAATCTATGAAGAAGTAAAGATGATTAAAATGTTCAAACATTATTAGATGTAGTTTTTAGAAATAAGAGGAAGGGATAATGAAAGAGAAAGTGAAGAAGACATATTTTATTCAATCGTATCCATGTGTTTCTGTTCTGATAAAATGGATGATGACATGGATGATGATGACGACGATGATGATGATGACTATAAAACGATGAATGGAAACAATATCAATCAAGTGGTGAACGAAGCAGCCAAACCAATTGAAGAACGGTATTCAAAACCGTGTTTTGGCTTTTGTGGCAAACAATCATTAGGTTTCAGATTAATCATTGAAGAAAATATCTAGTGACAAGTTCATTGCTAAGATAACCCCCTTATCTTAATAATGAACTGACTAATGCACGAAACTTTGCTTTCGGGATTTGAACATAGGCGTGTCGGTTTTGGACCATAAGCATGTCTGTTTTGGGGCATAGGGATGATGGTTTTGTATCGTTGGGATGATGGCTTTGGGGCATGCAGATGTTTAAAAGTGTATTGCATTGTTTGTTGTTTTGTTTTTGCTTGATTTGCTGTTTGTTTGTTTGTCTGTTTGTTGCGTGTGATTCTTTTCCCCGGGGCAGGCGCAGGCTTCACGAAATCAAACCTCTCAGGCGACTTCGTTGCCTTAACCGACAGCAAATGTTATGGATCACGCCTACTATTTGACGGGAAGGTTGCTTATTTCTTTAAGGACTGATGGAAGGAATATACTGTTCCAAAGGTGGATGTTAAGGCAAGTGATTTACGGATGATTGTACAACTGGTGCCAAATGCCGTGAGCTACAAATGAAGAAGTCGAAAATAAAGAAACTAAAAAGACAAGCGGCCAAGCCCTAAATGGAAGTAGAAGGAGAAAAACAATACTGCTCACATTGTCAAATTCATAGAAGCATAGAATTATGTTCAGAAAACTATGAGACTTGCAACAAATGCAGAGACAAGCAAATAATATATTCAACTTTATGAGTTTAATAGGGGCCATTGCTATGAAATCTTTTTGGCGGTCTGGGCATACTGGGTAGACAAATTAGTTGTTTTCGACCGCTTGCTGTAGCATGTGTGTATACATATATATATATACGTTGCAAGCGCTCCTTAGCAGCTGAAAGTGCACAATTCGAGCTGCATCTGCGCAAGTGTAGTTCGTGCACGGCTTTCGTACAAAAAAAAGGTTACACTTTCCAAGCTCCAGCTGCCGGAGGGTACACCGCAAACTACTTTCGTACTGAAAGAACAACAATTCTCGAGCTTCAGCTGCATGTGTACTTCGCGTACTGCTTTCGTCTCAACGCTACAAGCCGCAGCTGGAAAAGTGCAATGGGCCTATTACTTTTGTGCACTTCGACATACGCGAAGAGTCAAGCACTTTGCGAATTGGCGCGGCGCCACAGCCAAAATGCGAGTCGACGCACGAGCCCCGCAAAGTCCACTTGCGACAGCTTTCGTCGGCCCTAACCCAGCGCCAATGAGAGAAGACTAGATACTCAAGAAGTGTAGGTTGAAGAAAATAAATAATTGAATAGAAAATGAAGACTACTTGTCATAATAATGATAACTCCCGAAAAGTCTGGAAGCGATTTTCACATTTTAAGTGACACCCGAGCGATTGAAGGTGACTTTCACATTGTGCATCACACGCGAAAAGTGTGAAGGTGGCTTGATGATGCGTTTTTGAAGATGCGGTTAACATAGTCAGCTTAAGCTGCTGTGTGTGTGTGTGTGCTTGAAGAGCCCTTCGCCATGCTGCCTGGAAAACGAATACCGCGTTTCATGGCATTTCTGAGGCGCCGCATTGCTGCCACGAAGCCAACTGCGATGCCGCTGCCTGTCGATGAGCCCATGTAGACACCGAGAGACGGCGTTGAGGCTTCCACTTGAGAGGTTGATCAGTTGCTGCTTCGTGTCCCTGTCAATGTCATCCGTGTACAAATGGATTGGCCTGCGGTCATTCCAGGTTTTTTTTCCGTGCAACTCTTGGAACTCTATCTGGGGTGCAAACACACCTCTTGGCACCTCAAGTTTCACCTGAGTTGCCAGCAAGGTTGGGGCCACGTAGCCTAAACCACCTGTCGTGTTGATGCTAGCAAGTCCAAGAACATACACTGCAAGTTCAAGAGGCTCCAAGACAGCCAAAGATGGCATGAAGCTGGAGTTGCCAACACTCATAGAAAGGTGACTCTTGGGCTGCCAAGCATGCTTGGTCCATAAAGCCTTCTAAAAGTCGATCAAGCGATCGCCCTGTTTGGCTGCCTGCTAGTCAAAAGTACGTGCGCGAAGAAGCATGCTGCAAAGCACTACAGGAGCAGTCCAGCTTGCCCGGCTTGCAGTGTGCTTGCCGCTTTTGGCAGTGGAACCTGAGGTCGCAGCCGGGAATTTCCCTGGCTTGGCCGTCTTGGCCCGCTTCTCACCTTGGGCTGGGACTCTGGGTGAACCGAGACGGACTCAGCTCTCCCACCGTGGCCATGTTGCCTGTGTGGACAGTGCGACACGTGGCGCTGCGTGCACTGCGTGCATCGAGCGCCTCGAACGGTCCTGGCCGGCGGCCTTGAGGTCGTCCAAGTAGACCACACTGCCTCGCCTAACTCCATGGAACTGATTCAACTGATGGAGCTCGTTTCCCAGCGTGCCTGGCTAGCCGCAAGCCCAAGGCACGCATGGCATGGGCGCGCACGGGGCGAAAGGCGACTTGCTGAAGCGCTGAAGCGCGAACTGGTTTGGCTTTCACCCTTTGACCCTTGAATCTTTGCTCACTTCGAGCCAGGTCGGTCACTCCGTGAACAATGGCTCAAACTCGCAAACCAGCTGCCCGAACCAGTTGCCCAAGTCGGCCTCGCAACCTTTGCGCCAGCGGAATTCGCGCCGTCTTTGGTCACAGCTCGCTGCCGTGGAGCTCCTGACGCCGGTGAAAGCGAGGCGTGCCATTCTGTGCATGCGGCATGCCATCGCGGCCTTCTCAATGAGCTTGGTGTAGGCCTTGACTTGTGAAAAGTTTCAGGTCAGTCGAAGTCTTTGACGACTTCAAAGTCTCAGTGTGTTACGCTCTGCTCGCCCTTCTTGTTGAAGTCTTCGATCTGTGCGAAGTTCTTCCGCTTGGAAATCAACCTGCAGAGACCCAAGCGGACGTTTCGTTCTTCAGCTGACTTCCAGCTCCGGACTTGTCAAGTGCTGGAGGGTACTGACCTTGCGCTCGCCAGCTCGAATTCGGGCCAAAAGCGGAGCAGCTAGGGCGCAGGCCAACGCAGTACCAGCTGCCAGGTGCGTCGCAGACTCGGTTGCTTTTAACCTCGCAAACTCCCCAATCGGACCCAACCCCATCTAAGCAGTTACACGCCCCGAACTGGGCACATCTGAACTCTTTGGCCCATCGCGCCCACTTTTCCTCGGCACTGGAGCGCCATAACCCGCGATCACCTGGCCAGCGAGCTTTCAAAGCAGAGCTTTCAAAGCAGCGCTTTCACATCGCATCAGCCTGGTTCACTGCTTCCTCCCAGCTGCGCCCATCTCGGGCAAAGCTCATGGAAGCGAGCACCCTGCGCCCCTGCAGCGCAGAAGGGTCATCACCTCCTTAGCAAACCCGGCACCTTGACCTCACCTCTCACCTGACTCCTGTAACCTCCCTTCAGCCATCTCAAGTGCCTCAACCGCCACGCTCTAAGGTGCCAAGGAGCTAAACGCTGCAATTCTGAAAGGCTGCGTTCGATGAGACAGCTTCCCATCAAACACAATAGCTCTGCCTGCTTTGTAGTTGTACACGGCCGAGATGGCCTCATCCCAGGGTCTGATCTCCTTGGTCAAACAACTTCCATCGGATGACATTGAGACCTATGTTGGGCCCCTTTCAGCGCACCAAATCGCAATCCTCAAGAATGAAGTGGTCTGACGTGTTGACATGCGGAGCTTTGCTTGAAAGTGCGCCACTGGGCCGGGCGCCAAATTCCCCTCCAAGGGGAAGACACCCGGGTGGAGCGGCAACAGCGCCGTGGCGGCGGCGCCCCGGGGGATGCGCGGCGGCCCGAAGTCCACGTGGAACTTGGCGGCGTCCTCCTCGCAGTCGCCCTCGGCCACCACGAAGGACGCCGCCACCAGGCGCCACGCGCCCTCGTCGCCCCAGTCGCTGAGGCGCCGCAGCACCGGGCGCGCCGCCCCGGCGAAGGCCCGCAGCGCCTCGGGCGTCGCCCAGTGCCACGACATGCTCCGCGGGAAGGCCCCGTTCAGCGCCTCCGCCCGGGCGAAGTCCGCGCTCTCGGCCTCAAAGTGCTGCGCGGCCAAGTCCCTGAGGCGCTCGGTCTCCCGCCGGGGGATCCGCACCACCCCCGCGCCTCGCCGCCGCAGATCGCGCCGAAACCGCCAGGGAGACAGCCGGGCCCTCCGAATCCCCGTCACCGGCCGGGGCCGACCCAGAAGACGCGCCAGCAACGCCAGGTGCCCAAAGAAACTCAACTTGGGCTTGCCGCCGCCGGCTGCGCCAATGGCCTTCACAGCACTGCCACGTGCAGGGGCCACAGGGGCGTTGGCTCTGACGAGAGGAATCTCCATTCCGGAACACTTTTATCTTCGAGCCATACGTCGCGTCCGACGTGCAACATTGTGCAACACTTTGTCTTGGCTCTGGCTGAGCTGGCTGAGCTCAATGCCCATTCCCTGCTCTCTTCTGACACGTTCATGACTTGGTAGATTCGCATCAGCCCGTGCTTGGTGGTGTGAACCTGGCCGTTTAGTGGAGGTGGCACCGAACTATATTTGGCACTTCCCTCGCTGCTCCATCACCTTCCCTGCCCTTCCTTGACTGTCCTCTGGCCCTTCCGTGACTGCCAATCTATGCATCAATCTGTGCAGGTTAATCACCAAAAGGCTGTTTTGCATAGCACGGGCTGCGTGGGCACAAGCCCCGATGCTTAGTTTTGATACGGCTTAGGTTTCTCTGCCAGTCAAGACCCCTTCATTCGGAGGTCCCTTGTCCCTTTTCACTATCTCATTGCAGCGTTTCCCTCTTTTACTCTTCCACGGCCCAACCTCCTTGAAGAGATTCTCATTCACCCTCACGCCGGGGCCTGAGTGTCCAAGCTGCTGGAAGTGAGGTGGATGTGTTTTCTCCCACACTCAGCTCAGGTGTGTGCTCACTCTGTGCTGGCAGAGCTTGTACAAGAGAGAGCGTGCCATCATTGGAGTCGGTGAATAGTCCTGTCGCTTGGTAGACCACGGGCCGCCCAGCAACTGCCTGAGCTCCCCACGGAATAGAAACTGAACTTGTTGCACTTCGGATCATCATCTCCACAGTGGTCTGGGAAGACGGAATTGCCAATCCTGCCAAAGACACTCGGCAACGGAATATGCAAATCCTACTGAGTACGTGTGGGAGTTGGAGTGGGAATGGGTGTGCGTGTGCGTGTGTGCGTGTGCGTATGTGTGTGTGTCTGGGTATGGGCGGGGGGTGGCGGGCGCGTAAGTGTCTGCTCGGCACTCGGAACGACGCGGGGTGTTCCTAGCCAAGTGGGGTGACTTTGCCAGGTCATCGCCGCCGCCGCCAGCCCAAACCTTGCCAACGTGCACTTCTCAAGTGCCAGGCCCGTTAGACGCCCTGAGGTCGGCACCAACACGTAGTCGGCCAAGTGGCGGATGGCATTGTGGGCCTGACCCGGGCTGCGTGAAGATACCAACCATCTCTCGGCCATGCCTTCTTCTCACTGCTGGTCAGTGTTCGGCCTCAAGAGGGAACGTTGGACACTGAGGGAGCGTTGGACACTGTGTATTGGTCCCTCGCAGGAGTTCTGAGTGATGTTAATTCCATTCTTAGTACTGACAAGACTCAGTCTCAGATCCCCAGATCAGTCTCAGATTCCCAGAACTTGATTTCGTGCTCCCAACTGCAAATTTAGTCTTGCCAAGACTTTATCTCAGATTCCAAGTACTTAGCTAAGAATTGCAATTTTTGAGGTAGTATTGCCAAGACTTTGTCTCAGCTTCCCAGTACTTACTGTACGATTGCCAAGTCTGAATTAGTGTTGCCAAGACTTTATCTCCGATTCCCAGTACTTAATTCACAAATTGCCAAATCTGAGTTAGTGTTGCCAAGACTTTATCTCCGATTCCCAGCACTTAAAACTAAAATTGCAAATTATGAAATAGTGTTGCCAAGACTTTATCTCAGACTCCTAGTCCTTGTTTTAAAAAATGCAAATTCGGAATCAGCGTTGATAAGGCTTTCTCTCAGATCCCAAGTACTTAATTTAGAACTGTCAAGTCTGAATTAGTGCTGCCAAGGCTTTATCTCAGACCCGCAGTACTTAATTCAGACAATATCAATTCTGAGTTAGCGTTGCCAAGAAATTGCCTCAGATTCGCAGCGCCTAATTCAGAAATGGCAAGTCTTAGTTGGTGTTGCCAAGACTTTATCTCAGATTCCCAGTACTTAAATTGAAATTGCCAATATTGCCAAGACCTTAACTCAGACTCCCAGCACTTGGTTCAGCATTGCATATTGTGAACTAGCATTTCGTTATCCCAGAATCCCAGCAGTTATAATTGCCAAGTTTGAATTAGTATTGCCAAGGCTTTATCTCACACTCCCAGTGCTTCATTTATAATTACCAAGACTTTATCTCAGAGTTCCAGCACATATTTCAGAATTTCAATTTCTGAACCAGTGTTGCGAAGACTTTATTCAGGCTCCAAGTACTTAATTCGCAACTTGCTAACTCTGAGCTAGTCTTGCCAATATTTTATCTCAGATTCCAAGTACTCAATTAAAAAACAGAAAGGACTATTTTCCCCTTAATAAAATATGAAATAGATTCTTTGTCAAGAGTTTTCGAATCTCTGGAATGTGAACCATAAAGTGAAACATGCTTAAGCCGTGACAAAAACTCATCTTGAAGAACATCTTCTAGAGGTGGCATTGTCTTTATTCGTTAAAAATAGTTCTCTAAATCTTCGTCTACTTCTTTTAATAGTTGAGCTAGCTGATTTTGGCAACGCTATAACTAAATGGCCAAATTTTGAAGATGGCACTTTTTTACATGAATATGTTTTTGAGAAAACTTGCTTGCCATGTATGCTTCTTTTCTGCAAAGAAACATCATCATCAACATGTTTTTCCAATACCCTGTTGCATCAAGTCCCTGAGCTATCTTCGCCCCAGCGAGACCAGCACCATGATGTTTTTTGTTTTAAATAAACAAAGTAAGTTGTTTTCAACGCTAGGATACAGTTTTTGACCAAAGACGTGGTGAACACATTTTGATATACTGTCTAAAGCACCTTGTGCTTTTCTTGGGCAAGAAGCATAGTTGCTTCTTTCTTATTAATTGAGTGTGTCTGTATTAATTAGGTTTACTTGAAGATTTTCAATCTTCTATGGATATATATATATATATATATCAATATAACTTGAGGTATTAGTATTTGGAAATCTTTGATCATATCTTTGCAGAGAAACCCAAGTATATGAGAATGGTTTGATGAATTCTATTATATTGTCATGGTTAATTTTCTTTTGGGGGGTAGTTTTTAATTGAGATACAACTTCAATCAAAAGATTAGAGCCAGTCTCACCTTTTGATTGATTAATGGTATAACCTTTTATTCTATGTTGCTTTGATGTTTGTGTTGCCCATTTTCTGAAACATATAATTTACCCTATACCCTACAGATATGATCACATCAAGGTTCTACTCTTTAACATGTTTGGAGTTGTTGAGGTGCGGATTGGTGTTGAGTCAGTTGGTTTGCCTGAAGTAATCTGTTTGCACGTCTGCAAAAACAACCAGTTCATATGAAAAAAACGCTGGGACTCCCTCTACTTAATGTAGAACAGCCATGTCTGAATTCGCAATAAGACTGTATCTCAGATGCCCAACGCAAAAAGATCGAAATGAAAACTCTGAACTTGTGTTGCCAAGGCGTGAACTCAGATTCCCAGTACTTGAATTGGAAATGCCAAGTCTGACTTAGTGCTGCCACGACTTTATCTCAAATTCCCAGCGCTTACATCAGAATTTGCCAATTCTGAGTGAGCGCTGCCCAGACTTTATCTAAGACTCGCAGGACTGAATTTAAAAAATGCCAAGTCTGAGTTAGCGTTGCCAAGTCTAAATTTGTGTTGCCAAGACGTTTTATCAGATCCCCAGTACTTAATTGGGAATTGCCAATGTTGAGTAAGTGTTGCGAAGACTTTTTCTCAGGTTCCCAGTGCATAATTCAGAATTTTGCCAATTCTGAATTAGCGTTGCATTGCCAAGACTTGATCTCAGATTCCCAGTACATAATTCAGAATTTTGCCAAGTCTGATTTGGCGTTACCAAGACTTTATCGCAAATTCCCAGAACTTGAATCCTCATGGCAAAGTCTGAACTAGTGCTGTCAAGACTGTATCTAGATTCCCGGTACTTAATTCAGAAATTGCTCATTCTGAATGAGCGCTGCCAAAACTTTAGCTCAGAATCCCAGTACATGAATCAATAAATACCGAGTCTGAACTAGTGTTGCCAAAACTTTACCTCAACTTCCCAGTACTTGATATAGAATTGTTAAATCTGAAATAGCATTGCCAAGACTTTATTTCAGACTCCCAATACTTCATTCACAAGTTGCCAAGTCTGAGTTAGTGCTGCCAAGACTTTATCTCAGATTCCCAATGCTGCATTCATAAATTGCCAAGTCTAGATTAGTGTTGCCAAGACCCATCTCAGATTCCGAGTACTTAATTCAAAACTTTTTCTCAGACTCCCAGTACTCAATTCAGAAGTTTCCAAGTCTGAATTAGTGTTGCCAAGACTTTATCTCAGATTCCCAGTATCAATTCAAAAGTTGACAAGTCTGAATTAGTGTTGCCAAGACTTATCTCAGACTCCCGGTATTCAATTCAAAAGTTGCCAAGTCTGAGCTGGTGTTGCCAAGACATTATCTCAGCCCAGCACTCAATTCAGAAAATGCCACGTCTGAATTAGCGTTGCCAAGACTTTATCTCAGATTCCCAGTACTCAAATCAGAAAATGCCACGTCTGAGATAGTGTTGCCAAGACTTTATCTCAGATACCCCGTATCAATTCAAAAGTTGACAAGTCTGAATTCGTGTTGCCAAGACTTTTTCTCAGACTCCTGGTATTAAATTCAGAAGTTTCCAAGTCTGAATTAGTGTTGCCAAGACTTTATCTCATATTCCCAGTATCAATTCAAAAGTTGACAAGTCTGAATTAGTGTTGCCAAGACTTATCTCAGACTCCCGGTATTCAATTCAAAAGTTGCCAAGTCTGAGCTAGTGTTGCCAAGACATTATCTCAGCCCAGCACTCAATTCAGAAGTGGCCAAGTCTGAATTAGCGTTGCCAAGACTTTATCTCAGATTCCCAGTACTCAAATCAGAAAATGCCACGTCTGAGTTAGTGTTGCCAAGACTTTATCTCAGATACCCCGTATCAATTCAAAAGTTGACAAGTCTGAATTCGTGTTGCCAAGACTTTCTCTCAGACTCCCGGTATTCAATTCAGAAGTTGCCCGTCTGAGTTAGCGTTGCCAAGACTTTATCTCAGATACCCCGTATCAATTCAAAAGTTGACAAGTCTGAATTCGTGTTGCCAAGACTTTTTCTCAGACTCCTGGTATTAAATTCAGAAGTTTCCAAGTCTGAATTAGTGTTGCCAAGACTTTGTCTCAAACTCCCCGCACTCAATTCAAAAGTTGACAAGTCTGAATTAGTGTTGCCAAGACTTCTCTCAGACTCCCGGCATTCAATTCAAAAGTTGCCAAGTCTGAACTAGTGTTGCCAAGACTTTATCTCAGCCCAGTACTCAATTCAGAAGTGGCCAAGTCTGAATTAGCGTTGCCAAGACTTTATCTCAGATTCCCAGTACTCAAATCAGAAAATGCCACGTTTGAGTTAGCGTTGCCAAGACTTTATCTCAAACTCCCCGTACTCAATTTAAAAGTTGCCAAGTCTGAATTAGTGTTGCCAAGACTTTATCTCAGATACCCGGCATTCAATTCAAAAGTTGCCAAGTCTGAACTAGTGTTGCCAAGACTTTATCTCAGCCCAGTACTCAATTCAGAAGTGGCCAAGTCTGAACTAGTGTTGCCAAGACTTTATCTCAGCCCAGTACTCAATTCAGAAGTGGCCAAGTCTGAATTAGCGTTGCCAAGACTTTATCTCAGATTCCCAGTACTCAAATCAGAAAATGCCACGTCTGAGTTAGTGTTGCCAAGACTTTATCTCAGATACCCCGTATCAATTCAAAAGTTGACAAGTCTGAATTCGTGTTGCCAAGACTGTATCTCAGCCCAGTACTCAATTCAGAAGTGGCCAAGTCTGAATTAGCGTTGCCAAGACTTTATCTCAGATTCCCAGTACTCAAATCAGAAAATGCAATGTCTGAGTTAGCGTTGCCAAGACTTTATCTCAAACTCCCCGCACTCAATTCAAAAGTTGCCAAGTCTGAATTAGTGTTGCCAAGACTTCTCTCAGACTCCCGGCATTCAATTCAAAAGTTGCCAAGTCTGAACTAGTGTTGCCAAGACTTTATCTCAGCCCAGTACTCAATTCAGAAGTGGCCAAGTCTGAATTAGCGTTGCCAAGACTTTATCTCAGATTCCCGGTATTCAATTCAAAGTTGCCAAGTCTGAACTAGTGTTGCCAAGACTTTATCTCAGCCCAGTACTCAATTCAGAAGTGGCCAAGTCTGAATTAGCGTTGCCAAGACTTTATCTCAGATTCCCAGTATCAATTCAAAAGTTGACAAGTCTGAATTAGTGTTGCCAAGACTTATCTCAGACTCCCGGTATTCAAATCAAAACTTGCCAAGTCTGAACTAGTGTTGCCAAGACTTCATCTCAGCCCAGTACTGAATTCAGAAGTGGCCAAGTGTGAATTAGCGTTGCCAAGACTTTATCTCAGATTCCCAGTATCAATTCAATAGTTGACAAGTCTGAATTAGTGTTGCCAAGACTTCTCTCAGACTCCCGGTATTCAATTCAACAGTTGCCAAGTCTGAACTAGTGTTGCCAAGACTTTATCTCAAACTCCCCGCACTCAATTCAAAAGTGGCCAAGTCTGAATTAGCGTTGCCAAGACTTTATCTCAGACTCCCAGTATCACATCAAAAGTTGACAAGTCTGAATTAGTGTTGCCAAGACTTATCTCAGACTCCCGGTATTCAATTCAAAAGTTGCCAAGTCTGAGCCCAGTACTCAACTCAGAAGTGGTCAAGTCTGAATTAGCGTTGCCAAGACTTTATCTCAGATTCCCAGTATAAATTCAAAAGGTTGACAAGTCTGAATTAGTGTTGCCAAGACTTATCTCAGACTCCCGGTATTCAATTCAAAACTTGCCAAGTCTGAACTAGTGTTGCCAAGACTTTATCTCAGCCCACTACTCAAATCAGAAAATGCCACGTCTGAGTTAGCATTGCCAAGACTTTATCTCAGATTCCCAGTACTCAAATCAGAAAATGCCACGTCTGAGTTAGCGTTGCCAAGACTTTATCTCAGCCCAGTACTCAAATCAGAAAATGCCACGTCTGACTTAGCGTTGAAAAGACTTTATCTCAGCCCAGTACTCAAATCAAAAAATGCCACGTCTAAGTTAGCGTTGCCAAGACTTTATCTCAGATTCCCGGTACTCAAATCACAAAATACCACGTCTGAGTTAGCGTTGCCAAGACTTTATCTCAGCCCAGTACTCAAATCAGAAAATGCCACGTCAGAGTTAGCAGCGTTGAAAAAACTTTATCTCAGATTCCCAGTATCAATTCAAAAGTTGACAAGTCTGAATTAGCGTTGCCAAGACTTATCTCAGACTCCCGGTATTCAATTCAAAAGTTGACAAGTCTGAACTAGTGTTGCCAAGACTTTATCTCAGATTCCCAGTACTCAAATCAGAAAATGCCGCGTCTGAGTTAGCGTTGCCAAGACTTTATCTCAGCCCAGTACTCAAATCAGAAAATGCCACGTCTGAGTTAGCGTTGCCAAGACTATATCTCAGATTCCTGGTACTCAAATCAGAAAATGCCACCTCTGAGTTAGCGTTGCCAAGACTTTATCTCAGCCCAGTACTCAAGTCAGAAAATGCCACGTCTGAGTTAGCGTTGCCAAGACTTTATCTCAGATTCCCAGTACTCAAATCAGAAAATGCCACGTCTGAGTTTGCGTTGCCAAGACTTTATCTCAGATTCCCAGTACTCAAATCAGAAAATGCCACGTCTGAGTTAGCGTTGCCAAGACTTTATCTCAGCCCAGTACTCAAATCAGAAAATGCCACGTCTGAGTTCGCGTTGCCAAGACTTTATCTCAGCCCAGTACTAAAATCAGAAAATCTCAGCCCAGTACTCAAATCAGAAAATGCCACGTCTGAGTTAGCGTTGCCAAGACTTTATCTCAGCCCAGTACTCAAATCAGAAAATGCCACGTCTGAGTTAGCGTTGCCAAGACTTTATCTCAGCCCAGTACTCAAATCAGAAAATGCCACGTCTGAGTTAGCGTTGCCAAGACTTTCTCAGATTCCCGGTACTCAAATCAGAAAATGCCACGTCTGAGCTGGCGTTGCCAAGACTTTATCTCAGCCCAGTACTCGAATCAGAAAATGCCACGCATGAGTTTAGCGTTGCCAAGACTTTATCTCAGCCAGTACTCAAATCAGAAAATGCCACCTCTGAGTTAGCGTTGCCACCAGGAACTGCCATGGCCGGTACTCAAATCGAAAATGCCACGTCTGAGTTAGCGTTGCCAAGACTTTATCTCAGCCCAGTACTCAAATCAGAAAATGCCACGTCTGAGTTAGCGTTGCCAAGACTTTATCTCAGCCCAGTACTCAAATCAGAAAATGCCACGTCTGAGTTGGCGTTGCCAAGACTTTATCTCAGCCCAGTACTCAAATCAGAAAATGCCACGTCTGAGTTAGCGTTGCCAAGACTTTATCTCAGCCCAGTACTCAAATCAGAAAATGCCACGTCTGAGTTAGCGTTGCCAAGACTTTATCTCAGATTCCCAGTACTCAAATCAGAAAATGCCACGTCTGAGCTAGCGTTGCCAAGACTTTATCTCAGCCCAGTACTCAAATCAGAAAATGCCACGTCTGAGTTAGCGTTGCCAAGACTTTATCTCAGCCCAGTACTCAAATCAGAAAATGCCACATCTGAGTTAGCGTTGCCAAGACTTTATCTCAGCCCAGTACTCAAATCAGAAAATGCCACGTCTGAGTTAGCGTTGCCAAGACTTTATCTCAGCCCAGTACTCAAATCAGAAAATGCCACGTCTGAGTTAGCGCTGCCAAGACTTTATCTCAGCCCAGTACTCAAATCAGAAAATGCCACGTCTGAGTTAGCGTTGCCAAGACTTTATCTCAGCCCAGTACTCAAATCAGAAAATGCCACGTCTGAGTTAGCGTTGCCAAGACTATATCTCAGCCCAGTACTCAAATCAGAAAATGCCACGTCTGAGTTAGCGTTGCCAAGACTTTATCTCAGCCCAGTACTCAAATCAGATAATGCCACGTCTGAGTTAGCGTTGCCAAGACTTTATCTCAGATTCCCAGTACTCAAATCAGAAAATGCCACGTCTGAGTTAGAGTTGCCAAGACTTTATCTCAGATTCCCAGTACTCAAATCAGAAAATGCCACGTCTGAGTTAGCGTTGCCAAGACTTTATCTCAGCGCAGTACTCAAATCAGAAAATGCCACGTCTGAGTTAGCGTTGCCAAGACTTTATCTCAGCCCAGTACTCAAATCAGAAAATGCCACGTCTGAGTTAGCGTTGCCAAGACTTTATCTCAGATTCCCAGTACTC